CCCTACTTCAGTCCCTGCTGCGTTGGTCAACATGGAGGCCACCATATTAGCACCAGATTTCAAGATTACTGCCACCAAAAAAACCCCCAAAGGACAAACCCTCCCCGTCTCTGTGTACAACATAGCACACTTGCACAAAGACCCATTTTCCACAGCTCTAGTATTAGCTCAATTAAAACTCGGGCCTGGCTACCACCTTATCACAATGAAACCAGAGGCAGTCACAACTTGTGCAATTGGCATGCTGTAGCAATGCTTGCATAACATCGTATAGCCCTGTTGCAACCGTTCTGTAACTCCGCTCCGTGTCAGATATTAACATCATGAGCACTACAGGCATGCCTCGTGCTGGAGTTGAGGGGGCCGTGAACCTGTGTGTCAGTGGCCTCTTTGCTGACTAGCCAAGGTCACTGACCATACTGTCCTAGCTACAGAGTAGCATTGTGGAATGGAGTAGTAGAGAGGTCTTCCCATTGACCTGGGTTTCTGGCCCTGCGCCACCATGCTTTCTAGCTGGCCTCCTGTTTTGTACGGCTGGTCAAAAACATGTTTGTTTTTTTCTTTTCCTGTGTGGGAAAATTTTAAAAATGCTGAAATTTCTCCCCAGCTTTTTTGGTTTGGGGGATTTCAGTTCTTCCCTCCCATCTTCATCCTTGAAACATGAGCACGTAATTCTATTTCCCTGCCAGTGACATCTCCAGTGACTTCAGACTTGTTCTGGATCCGGCTGCTAACTGTCTATGGCACAAGGTTACAGACTGAATTCATCACGTAGCTTGACGTGAATGGGGTGGGGTTAGTACTTGTCTTGGCTGCACATCTGGATGGCTGTCCTTGCTTCAGATTTGAACCAAAGGGTTTTTTTATTCATTAACTGTAGGGATCTATGGACTCAAACTCTTTATGATGAACATGGAGAGAAGTCAGCCAGAATTGACCAGGGAAGTCCAGGCATGAAACCTACAGCCCATGGAAGGGTTGTTCTAGTACTTGTCAGTACTCTAGTACTGGCTAGTTCTGGTACTTGAAGGGAAGCTCGCAAGAGGAAACCATATGATCCACTATCTTCAGTAAGGAAAATGTGCACAGTTGTGGTGAATCAGGTAGAAGTTTGGGGATGGTTTAAAACAAGCATAAGGAAGTACTTCTTTACACAATACACAAACAACCCATGGAACTCTTTGCCAGAGGATTTTGTGAAGGCCAAGACTATAACGGGGTTCAAAAAAGAACTAGATACATTCATGGAGGCTAGGTCCATCAATGGCTATTAGCCAGGGTGGGCAGAGATGGTGTCCCTAGCCTCTGCTTGCCGGAAGCTGGGAATGGGCGACAGGGGATGGATCCTTGATGATTACCTGGTCTGTACATTCCCTCTGGGGCACCTGGCATTGGCCACTGTCGGAAGACAGGATACTGGGCTAGATGGAGCTTTGGTCTGACCCAGTATGGCTCTTCTTATGTTCTTATAATGAAGAGGGAGACAGACATAGGAATGAAGAGGGGATCTGTGGTCATGATCCGATGCCTGAGAATCCCATTCTGCAGCAAAACCAGGCAGTAGAAAAAGCCATCCCAACAAATATCCCCCTAAGTGTGCCATGTGACCTTGGGCAAAACGTTTCCCTTACCTGTGCTTCTGTTTCTCCTCCTGCCCTTTGTCTTTCTTATCTGCAGAGACTGGAAGCTCTTTGGGGAAGACGCTGTCTCTCACTGTGGGTTTGTACAGCATCTAACACAGTGGGGTCCCAATCTTGGCTGGGTCCTCTACTAATAGGGAAGTTAGTGAATAGATAGTCAAGAAACCCATGTTGTTCCAGATTAACAGTGAAGCTAGATCCAAAGGCCAGATGACAAGCAGTGATGCCACTATTTTTGGAGTTATCTTTCTGCCCACTTGGAATAATATTGAGCCCTTCCTAGTAGGGCAGAAGAAATTGGACAACCAACTCACGCTGAAAATCGTGACAAAACCAAACGTAGGAATCCCTGTAATCAACCGATTGCAAAGATCGCCTTTATTTGCTTCAACCTGAATAAGCTAATGAACTCAGTTAAAAGGATTAAAAACCTTTCAGTTTATTGTCAACATGCCAGTTAAACTAATTGAATTGTTTCATTAGTGTATGGAATTTAAAATGATCTATAAAATGGGGCCTAATCAGTGTGTTGTTCATTCTGACTGCCACATCCTTCTCTTGGGTATGATTTCCCACTGCAGCTCCTTAGTCCCCCTTTTCTGGTTGTGTTTGATTCTTCTTTCTTGTATGCGGTGTTTGACCCTGTCTTGTATGTGGGCCAGACCCTGGCACAGAAATGTGGGGCTGGAAGGGCCAACCAGAAGTCAGCTAGTCCGTGTCCCACACGCATGGAAGCAGTTAGTGGTGACTCTTTTGCTCTACGCTGCCAGCTTGTGACCAGAATCCAAAAGCAATGGACGCATTTAGTTAGATGCACCACCCATCTTTCACAACCCAAGATCACACCCTTTTGGAAACTGCACCTTTATATTCCAAGGTGGAGATGAGTGAGGGTTATGTAGCAGCACTTCAAACTGTGGGGTTAAACAACATTCCCATCTCTGCCACTGCTTGGCTATTTGACCTGGGGCAAATCACTTTGCTTCTCTGTGACTCAGTTTCTCCCCACACCCTTTGTCCTATCTAAGACTGTAAGCTATTTGGGATATGGACTGCCTAACTGTGGCCATGTCTTCACTACGCACCACTGGCGGTGGTGTGTAAGGTATGTGTAGCTATGCACCACGGTGAAAAACAGGTTTCATCCATGCTATAGTATGTAGCTACAAGTGTCAATGAAAGGCTCTGGCAGAGGGAAGCAGCAGGAAAAGGCTCCATCCCTGCTGCCGGAGGCTTTTCCTGCTGGGGGCTATGCATGTATGTGCATTACACACCACTGAAAGAAGCACACAGTGTAGATGTACCCCCAGTATATGTACAGTGCCTAGCACAACTGAACCCCAAACTCTTCTGAGGCTCCAGGTGCTGCTGTAATACAAATATGTAATAGGCCATCTGGGCAACATGCATCCATGTGCTTTACTCTGCCCTCTTTTCCATAGCTGTCATGACTGGGATGTGGGCAGGCTGACCCAGTGGTCAGAGGTGAGTCACGAGCAAGAAGCCAGGCTGGGTTGGATACCAGATCAATGTCAGGCAGTGGAGACAGGTAGCACAGTGGATGCAGCCCTGAGCAGGAGAAACCCAATTACACAGACAATTTCCTGGTCCTCTGCTTGGTTTCAATAGGAGCAGGGAACAAATCGGGACTCCTGGAGTTCCACCAATGAGAACCTCGGATTGGAGTCCTCTGTCAGGGTTGAGCTTCTCATTGTGGCAACTGTTACCAGGTCTCTAGGAGCCAATAAGTTCTGACCAGCTGTCTCAGAGCCCTGTGGACCAGGGTTTGGGACCAGTGGTCCCTGATGACACCTAACGATTTTTCTCCCCTCCATGGCACACTCTGTCCCACCAGCCGCACCCTGGTTCTCTGCTCTCTTTCTGGATGAGGTCCCATAGATCTTCCTGACTGGCCCCCATGAACGGTTGTCCTTTGTCTCTTCAGCTGTCATGCACTCCCATCCTTTCAAGCCTCAGCAGCCACTCTCTGCTCTAACCCTCTCCTTTGCAAATGTGATTATGTGAATAATTTCAAATAAATAGCCATATTGAAAAAATGGCAAACTAGTCCCAGACCACCCGTGAACAGTGAATGAGGCTGAATGTGCCAGTTACATCACGTGGCAAGTGCTCTATGTTCATATCCGTGTGAACAGATGAACGGCCAGTCCTGGCTTTTGAACAACCAACACAACTTCTTCTTGTCTGCTGCTACTAACCAGCTGCACACAACACGTTTCTTGCCGTGGATTATTCATGCATTGTGCAATCTCTGGTTAAAGGATCTACTGACCACAGATCTACTGGTGGTCTGCCGGGAGACGTATACCCCATGGATCTAGGGCTAGGCAATGACTAATGTTTAGGTCTAGCACTCGCCAGTGAGGGGACTCTGTGCCTAGCTCGTGGCTGGTCAGAAGGAAGTGCCTGCACACTCGGACCCAGAGGAAGGCATGTGGAAAATCTGGACAAGCCAGACACCCTGAAAAGTGTACAAATACGGTTTCACTACATACCTCAGCTTTCCTTAGCACAGACTGACAGGTGAATATACACCTGCTTCGCTGCTGGTGGGATCTGTGCTGTGTACAAACCAGAACTAGAATCATCACTGGTGTCCCAACAATCCCTCTCTAGGGCTGAAATGAGGAGTAGCACACTCCTAAAGACCGCTTTGCATTGACAGCATGGCAAGAACTAACCGAGGTATTGCGACTCCACCATTCTGGGAAGAACCGGCAGCTGGAGGGACAGTGGGGACCAGATTGACGGCATGTAAGAAGCCTTCTAAAAAATAGCCCTGGGGTGAATGGGTGGTTTAGGCTCCCCAGATGCTGAGCCCCATCCCGCTTCCTCTCAGAACATGACCAAATCACCCCACTTCCCTGTATTCCTAATGCTCCCTGGCTCCAGGCTTTCTCTCCCTGCTGTTACCACAGCTCCAGGGATGTGATCTAACCCTATCTCCAGCTTGTTTGCAGGGTCTGTGGCTTCTAGGGACCCCTCTGTGTGGGCTGGAAAATGGAGTCAGAGCCAAGTAGGGCATGGAGGGATGGCATTTAGGGAATCACTGTCATGCTAGATCCGGATGGGAATCAGGGTTGGTCACCACTGCCCAATGACCCCAGGTGCTGTCTGGGAATAGTATCACTCCTAGACAACTTATTTCCAAAGCAGAGAGCTCAAATCTCCCAGCTCCTCCTCGCTTTCCACTCCAGGGATGCTAAGTTCCAAAAATCACCACTGATACTTATACAGACACATCCTTACACAGATCTGCCAGGGAGACCTGCCCCCTGTGAGATGGTGCATAAAAGTGGCTTGCTCTTTAAGGGAAACTCCTCCCACCTTTTAGTTGCTTTTCTCAAAATAATAGGTTCCAGGAAAGGCATTTGCTTCCCTCCACTGCCTGCCTGAAACCCACTCGCAGGCATCAGAGACTGGACTTGAGACGAGAAGGAGCAAAGGTAATGGGGAAAGCAGGACCACCTGGGGGAGGCTAAAAGAAGAGAAATGGCTAAAATGATTGTGAAACTGAAATGCGGAGTGGACAGCTGACAGCTGTGAGTTTAACATTCCTGCAGGTCTTGGGAAATCAATCAGCTCCATTTCGTTCCCTTATTGTAGCTGGATCTGTTTCACATCACTGAGTGTTAATAGGAATCAGAACAAGTTACCACTGTATTTATAGAGAGTGAGTGTGTGTGCGATATTTCTGTCCACAAAGGTGGCCTAGTCTTCTGTAATAAGGTTCTAAGCCATTCTGCTGAAATGCTGTGGTTACTGCTCTCCGACAGCTCTATGCACTGAAGAGGTGTGCTTCTTTTCTGCCGCAGGAGACCATGGTACAGAGAGTGGCAATCATTGGAGCTGGCCTGAGCGGACTGGCCTCCATTAAGTGCTGTCTGGACGAGGGATTGGAGCCCACCTGTTTCGAGAGAAGCAATGACATCGGAGGGCTCTGGAAATTCGCAGTAAGTGGGAAGCTCATTGGCGGATGACAAAACATTCTGATTTCGGAATATGGCTGGTCTTGTTGCATCCCATCTGCCACTCCATTCTGCATACGCCCTGTCTTGTATCTTACTTTCCCTGATGCCTATAGGCTGGTTTGCTCTTCAGGAGAAGCACCTGTTAATTGTTTAGAACAGATCACTCACTCTTCAGCACCATGTCTTTCTATGGCACTTGCACAGGATGGTGAAATCTGTGCTAATGGTCACTTTACTAACCACAGTCACCCATGTAAACAGGCCACAGACTGATTTGGAGAAAAGCTGAGCACCCCCAACTTCAGTTTAAGTAAAGGGGAGCTGCGGGTGCTCTGAAAATCAGGCCGTTAAGTCCCTGTAAAAGTTCCTTTGTGTTAATCACAAGGTGCTGTGCAGCCATGTGTTAGAACAGCCCGATATATAACTGACCCAGTGGAGGCTTTATTGAGATTTCACTGGTTAAAAGTTAATTAGATGTCTTAAAAATAAAGCAAACTCTAGTTCTGGCTTAATGCTTTTAGAAGCGAGGCTGAGGGCACAATCTGGGGACGCAAATCCAAGCCAACTGCATCTGAGGCAGGCAAACTCAACTCTTACTCATTTACTTTGGCAGGGAGTGGGGGGAAGTTGCATCCCGATGATGATGGTGCAATGTGCAGTCCTTCTCGGGCCTTGCTGTCTGCTCCACAAACAGCCGTGCGCTCTAGCCACCCACCCCTGGACTGCAGGAAGGAGTTTGGTTTTGCTTTACTGTAGCACCGAAAACTCAACTCCTTGCTGGGTTCTTCCGCCCCTGAAGGGGAAGAGCCTTTCAGTACTCCCGCCCCGCAAAGTGACCCTCCTGCATGTATGTTCTCTGTGGCGGTCGGCAGGCTTGCAGGAATGAATCTAGACTCAGCCAAGAGCCATGTTATAAAAAGACTCTGTCTGCAGGACAAAAGTTGACATCAAGCACTGTAACTTTCTTCTTGCTGCTCTGCTCTCACGACCTGATCCTCCCGACAGCACAGACAAAGACTCTGATAGGGGCCTTATTCAAAGAGCTGCTTATTTCCAGATCACAGAGTCTTGTTCTTCATTCTCTCACTTGGGCAAAGGAATAAGGCCCACAGTGAACCAAATCGCGTTTCCACTGTGCTTGTGATGAAATGTTGTGGGGCGGTGTGGGGTAGCGGGAACCAGCACCTTCAGTGTTCCAGTCCTGCTTCTGACACTGGCTAACCATGTGTATGGAGCTGGACTTCTCTGCCTCAGCCTCCCCATCTGTGAAATGGGGTACTGACAGGGCTAATGTTTGTGTATTGCTGCGAAGATGTGCTGACAAGGGAACAGCTCACCCACCCACACATTAGCACTCGTGGGAGGGGGCTTTGGAGGCAGACATCTGAGAGGGTTTCCTCATGAAGATCCCCGCCCCAAGCAATAGAAAAGGCCCTACCCATAAACTTTGCTGATTCTCTGCACCAGCCTGGCCCCTGTTGTCTCTGGCAGAGGGGCTGCATTGCCCCCACCCTGAGAGGAGCAGCTTCTCAATCCTCAGAGGAGAGGCTGCAGAGAAGTTAATGCAACCTGGGGCTCTCTTCCTTTTTCTGACTGTTCTTCATGGGGCCAGAGTGGGGAAGATGCGCCCTTACCCCCCAACCTACATAGTCGCCTTCCCCTTCCCCAGCACAGGCTTCAGACTCACAGGAAGAACCACCTTGGTGCAGAGAGCTGCCAGAGCCAGCTGCGGCTTCCAAGGAGTAACTAGGAGTCAATGACAGGCCAGCATAACCCAGAGAGAGCCTGGACAGAGAACCTAACCCTTCTCCAGGAGACGAGGCGGCCATCAAAGGCCAGAGCTGGAATGCCGCTGTGCTAGATGTCACGGGTGCACAGCAGGGATGTAGCCACAGGTGGGAATGGGTGAGCCATGGCCCACCCAATTAGCATCCAGGCTCACCCAAATCTGAGCAGGGGTATAGTCCCTGGAGTGTCACTCGGGCACCTGAAATCCAGGACGGAGCTATGCGCCTGCCCTTCAGAAAGCTACTTTCCAGCAACTCTGCCTCGCCATTTTCTGAGCCGCCCCATGCGTGTGCCCAGGTTGGAAGGTGAAGCCCTGTGTCTGGGGGCACCAGGGCTAGGAAAAGGGTGTGGCGTTGAGGGAGAAGCTGAACTAGCAGGTGCTCAGGGGCTGCCCGTTGGCCTATGGTGCTCTCCACACGGCTCATCCTCTGCATGGCCGGAGGCAGCAGCAAGGCCGGTCTCTCTGCAGCACTCCCAGGAGAGGATGCACTTTGCTGGGCAACTCAGTAAGAGTCCGGGCCAACCTGCGCTCAGAGGCAAGCCCCTGTTCATGCCTCCTCAGCGCAGCCAGAGGCAACCTGACACAGGGGCCACAAGCTCTGCAGAGATGTGAGCCCCCAGCTGAAGAGCAGCAGCCCATACCCTGCAATGAGGCAACTCCCTCTCTTCCCCCGCTGCAGAGTCAGGGCGCAGCTGAGGGGATCAGTGCTCCCCGGACAGGTTGCACAGCCAGCTGGCATGACCAGTACATAGCACAGTCTGGCATTGCCCGTCCACCCGAAAGTCAGGGCCCACCCAAATTTCTCCTCCTATCTACGCCACAGGTGCACAGGCTCTGTGCTCTGCAGCCGCTCGGAATGGAGCTCAGACAGGACCGTTTTGTAGTGTGATTCCACGCAGGGATCACTCTCGCTAGGGCGAGCCTCCTTCGCTTCAGCGCCACCTGGGTCTGCCCTCAGAGCGTTCCGCATCCCTGTTCACACTGGGAGCTCCCCGCAGGGATGGGACACCTCTAGGGGCCATGCACCTCCACGCTGCAGTCAGCAGTAGGGTGACCAGATGTCCCGATTTTATAGGGACAGTCCTGATATTTGGGGCTTTTTCTGACATTGGCTCCTATTACCCCCCAGCCCCTGTCCTGATTTTTCACACTTGCTATCTGGTCACCCTAGTCAGCAGTGAGTCCCAGCCAGCGTGTAAAACAGGTTTATTCGTCGTCTGGAACACAGCGTAGAACAGAGCTTGTTAGCACAGAAAGTAGGGACATTCAGCAAAGACCATCTTGGGGGAATCCAGAACTCAGAGCTGTGGGCTCTGCTCCCCGAGTCCCAAACCAGGAGACTGACTTGCTTCCAGCAGCCCACCCTCAGTCATGCCCTGTTGCTCCTCCTCTGTCTTTTGTCTCTTTCCCGGGCAAATTGGTCACCTGGCATCTGCCTCTTTGTTCTCCTAATCCTTCGGCTGGCTGTTGTAGAGGATGGGCAGATACAGATCATAGAATCATAGAATATCAGGGTTGGAAGGGACCACAGGAGGTCATCTAGTCCAACCCCCTGCTCAAAGCAGGACCAATCCCCAACTAAATCATCCCAGCCAGGGCTTTGTCAAGCCTGACCTTAAAAACCTCTAAGGAAGGAGATTCCACCACCTCCCTAGGTAACGCATTCCAGTGTTTCACCACCCTCCTAGTGAAAAAGTTTTTCCTAATATCCAACCTAAACCTCCCCCACTGCAACTTGAGACCATTACTCCTTGTTCTGTCATCAGCTACCACTGAGAACAGTCAAGATCCATCCTCTTTGGAACCCCCTATCAGGTAGTTGAAAGCAGCTATCAAATCCCCCCTCATTCTTCTCTTCCGCAGACTAAACAATCCCAGTTCCCTCAGCCTCTCCTCATAAGTCATGTGTTCCAGTCCCCTAATCATTTTTGTTGCCCTCCGCTGGACTCTTTCCAATTTTTCCACATCCTTCTTGTAGTGTGGGGCCCAAAACTGGACACAGTACTCCAGATGAGGCCTCACCAATGTCGAATAGAAGAGAACGATCACATCCCTCGATCTGCTGGCAATGCCCCTACGTATACATCCCAAAATGCCACTGGCCTTCTTGGCAACAAGGGCACACTGTTGACTCATATCCAGCTTCTCATCCACTGTAACCCCTAGGTACTTTTCTGCAGAACTGCTGCCGAGCCATTCGATCCCTAGTCTGTAGTGGTGCATGGGGTTCTTCCGTCCTAAGTGCAGGACTCTGCACTTGTCCTTGTTGAACCTCATCGGATTTCTTTTGGCCCAATCCTCTAATTTGTCTAGGTCCCTCTGTATCCTATCCCTACCCTCCAGAGTATCTACCTCTCCTCCCAGTTTAGTGTGTCAGATACAGAGTGTCCAGCTATGGTCTGTGTCCAGAGAGCTAGACAGAAGTCACACCTGCCCTCTAGGGTCTCTGCAACGATCACACACCTTTGTCCCACCACCTAGAATAGATACTTGTGCAACACATAAGGGAAACTGAGGCACACACAGAATATTCATACAAAACATTAAGAGAATTCCCACTTGTCACACTAGGCTACAGCAACACTTTCATAAACAAAAACGCAGGAGCGCTTGCATTGCCTCTATGCAGCACCTCTTTCTACACAGCCCTTTCTTTTTAAATGTTGGGCTGGAGTTACAGCTGGAAAGGCCCAGATTGACAACTCTGGAAACCAAAGACCTCTCCAGATGCCGTTTCCTTCGCTCTGCCCTGTAAGCATGCCTCAACACCAATCTGCAGGCTCCATCTCAAGGAGAGAGAAGGGATTTCACACCCTTTGCCCACTCAGACCATAGCTACTGTCTTGACAACAGTAGGGCCAGTTAATACCAACTCAGAGGGTGGTTTTAATGGTGGAACACCTGGCTGCTTGCAATGGGTGTGAAGCCACTGTCTAATTTCACAGGAGTGCACACCTTGTAGCCATATCACCTTGCATTACCAAGGGATGCTTGGATTGGAGGCTTGTCTAGCCTGGGTGGTCATATTGCTCAAAAGGATCTGGGCGTGATGGTGGATCACAAATGGAATATGAATCACCAATGTGATGCAGCTGTGAACAAGGCTAATATCATTCTGGGGTGTAGTAACAGGAGTGTCGTATGTACAGGAGGTAACTGTCCCACTCTACTTGGCACTGGTGAGGCCTCAGCT